CCCCCCCCACACACACACACACACACAGATAGGTCTCTGGATCCGCCACTGTACTAACCGTGAGACCAACTCACTGGATCATAGTTGGTCAGAACGTATTGTCAAAGAATTTTCACACAGTTCACTTCTATTCAACTTACAGAGATTCTGTCATTCTATGTTGATGCTTTGTACCACTAGGCCTTGTACGACTCTTGTTTAGGCAGAGGGGCACGGTTCCCCTGTGGTTAGGTAGTTACAATTAAATGTTTGAAGTACACACATACTACACATATGCTACTGATATGGTTCACAACACTCATCAACGTACAGGTGTGTTTCACAGCATGGGTAAGGACATATATTACACTTCATTAATGAAGGCATGTCCTTTCAGATAAACATATAGGACAAATGACATTATGTCAAATAGGAGAAAGAGAAATGCATGACCAGACCGGGATTCGATTATACACCCTCCAAACTCTAGATTGACAATCTACCAAATGAGCTGCCTGGTAACAAATGTTTATTCCAGTCCAGTTCAGCTACATTCCTCCCTCCTGTAACAGAAAGTCTTAATTTGACCCACTATATATATATACAACCCAGGTTCTGGTATCCCCTAATATTGTAACAGGAAAAATGAAATTCACTGCCAGATTGGGATTAGAACCCAGGACCCTTTAAACTCTAGACAGAAGCCTCTCTACCAAATGAGATACCTCTGGTCACTCCAATTCTGCTAGTATGGCACTCGACAGTGAGTCGGAAAAGCATTTTTTATTTCGGACATCGGAGGTAGATAATAATTATACCCTTTCGGACAACATTCCCCTTTTCCATCACTCAATGCTCAAACTTGAATTCTTGGAAGAGTGATCATTGGTCTGTGTAAGTATCAATGGTACAATTACTTTGCAATTAATCTTGGCCTATGAGGCACATCAGCAAAAGTTGAGACAAAATTTCACTGTTTGATTGATTCTCGGGTTCCTTTGGTTGGTAAAGTATTGATCTTCATGGCCACTCACCTGTAAATTACTTCTGGGGTTAAGGACTTAATACAAGATGTAAAATAAGAATTAGTAAATGGTGATTCAACACTCCTGATGTAGGGAGAATATTGCAGAATTATACTTGGATGGATATAGTTGAGCTACAGATGTAAACTAGGGATATGACATCGTGGGGTTGCTTCAGGATGACAGGTTATTCCATGTGTGATCTTATCTATAAGGATAGGTTCTCCCTGTTTTATATTTGAAATATCAATTTTTGTTTCTTAAATCATTAACATCATCATGATTTTGTAAATTTGGCTATAGGTCCAATTTCTGTGCATCAAATATTTTGAAAGTCAGTATTTCTGCATTTCTACATGTTCTTTCCATCTTTTCTCCATATCAATAATGCAGAATAGTCACACAATGACCTTCAATTATTCTGTAGCTTCATTTTCTATACAGTACAAAGAAATTGAAAAATATGAGCTTCGGAATAAGGAACAGCTGAAAGCTGCTAGCCTGGTTTACCTGGACCTGTGTGAAGGTGAGTTTATCTCTGTGTCATATTGATAAAATCTCAATACCACACCAACAGTGATAACGGGCTTAGCCATTCCTCTAATAGTAACTCTACCTCTACCTCTACTGACAACAGGAGTTAAATGGTACAGTAGGTCAATGTGTTATCATGGGGTGTTACTAACACTCTGACACAATGGTAACACACTGACAACACTAGTAACATGGTAAAGTAGGTCAATGTGTTATCAAGGGGTGTTACTACCACACTGACACAATGGTAACACACTGACAACACTAGTAACATGATAAAGTAGGTCAATGTGTTATCAAGGGGTGTTACTAACACTGACACATCGGTAACACACTGACAACACTAGTAACATGGTAAAGTAGGTCAATGTGTTATCAAGGGGTGTTACTAACACTGACACACCGGTAACACACTGACAACGCTAGTAACATGGTAAAGTAGGTCAATGTGTTATCAAGGGGTGTTTCTTACACTGACACACCGGTAACACACTGACACACTGGTAACACATCGACACATCCGAAACACATTGACACACTCGACACACTGGAAACACATTGACACACTGGTAACACATTGACACACGGGTAACACATTGACACACTGGTAAAACATCGACACATCCGAAACACATTGACACCCTCGACACACTGGAAACACATTGACTCACTGGTAACACATTGACACACTGGGAACACATTGACACACTAGTAACACATTGACACACCAGTAACACATTGACATACTGGTAATAACACATTGACCCACTCGTAATACATTGACACACTGGTAACAAATTGACCCACTAGTAACACATTGACACACTGGTCACACATTGACCCACTAGTAATACATTGACACACTGGTAACACATTGCCCCACTAGTAACACATTGCCCACTGGTAACACATTGACACACTGGGAACACATTGACACACTAGTAACACATTGGCACACTGGTAACACATTGACACACTAATAACACATTGACACATTGACGCACTGGTAACACATTGACACACTGGTGACACATTGACACACTGGTAACTCATTGACACACTAGTAACACATTGAAACACTGGTAATACATTGACACACTGGTAACACATTGACCCTCTGGTAACACATTGACACACTGGTAAGACATTGACACACTGGTAACACATTGACCCACTAGTACCACATTGACACACTGGTAATACATTGACGCACTGGTAATACATTGACACACTGGTAACACATTGCCCCACTAGTAACACATTGCCCACTGGTAACACATTGACACACTGGGAACACATTTCCACACTGGTAACACATTGACACACTCGTAACACATTGACACACTGGTAACACATCGACCCACTGGTAACACATCCACACTGGTAACACATTTGCACACTAGTAACACATTGGCACTATGGTAACACATAGACACACTGGTAACACATTGACACACTGGTAACACATCGACACACTGGTAACACATCCACACTGGTAACACATTGGCACACTAGTAACACATTGGCACTATGGTAACACATTGACACACTGGTAACACATTGACACACTGGTAACACATCGACACACTGGTAACACATTGGCACACTAGTAACACATTGACACACTGGGAACACATTTACACACTGGTAACACATTGACACACTGGTAATACATTGACACACTTGTAACACATTGACACACTGTTAACACATTGACACACTGGTAACACATTGACACACTGGTAATACATTGACACACTGGTAACACATTGACACACTGGTAACACATTGACACACTGGTAACACATTGACATACTGGTAGCACATTGACACACTGGTAACAAATTGACACTGGTAACACATTGACACTGGTAACACATTTACGCACTGGTAACACATTGGCACACTAGTAACACATTGGCACACTGGGAAAACATTTACACACTGGTAATACATTGACACACTGGTAACACATCGACACACTGGAAACACATTGACCCACTGGTAACACATTGACACACTGGTAACACATTGGCACACTAGTAACACATTGACACACTGTAAACACATTGACACACTGGTAACACATTGACACACTGGTAATACATTGACAAACTAGTAACACATTGACACACTGGTAATACATGGACACACTAGTAACACATTGGCACACTGGTAACACATTGACACACTGGTTACACATTGGCACACTGGTAACACATTGACACACTGGTAATATATTGACACACTGGTAACACATTGACACACTAATAACACATTGACACACTAGTAACACATTGGCACACTGGTAACATATTGACACACTGGTTACACATTGACACACTTGTAACACATTGACACACTAGTAACACATTGGCACACTGGTAACACATTGACACACTGGTAATACATTGACACACTAGTAACACATTGGCACACTGGTAACACATTGACACACTGGTTACACATTGACACACTGGTAACACATTGACACACTAGTAACACATTGACACACTGGTAACACATCGACACACTGGTAACACATTGACATACTAGTAACACATTGACCCACTGGAATACATCGACACACTGGAAACACATTGACACACTAATAACACATTGACACTAGTAACACATTGACACACTAGTAACACATTGACACACTGGTAACACATTGACACACTGGTAACACATTGACCCATTGGAAACACGTTGACCCACTAGTAACACATTGACACACTGGTAACACATCTACCCATTGGTAACACATTGACCCACTGGAATACATCGACACACTGGAAACACATTGACACACTAATAACACATTGACACTAGTAGCACATTGACCCACTAGTAACACATTGACCCATTGGTAACACATTGACCCACTGGAATACATCGACACACTGGTAACACATTGACACACTAATAACACATTGACACACTAGTAACACATTGACACACTGGTAACACATTGACACACTGGTAACACATTGACACACTGGTAACACATTGACACACTGGTAATGTTTAAATAAAAAAATACTGTTTAGTTATTTGGCTGTATTATTTTTGTAGCAAAACAATGGTGGAATCTTGATCTTCATCCTTGCTGTGAGCTTGACCTTGTTTTTATATCTGGACATGCCACTAGACATACCCCTCGGGAACTGGTGCTGCCCCTTCCTCGGGGGTGCACCGTTACCCCTAGTGATCTCCAGACCTACCTCCACACACTAAATCTGGAGAGCTACCACACATCAGGGTAAGCGTAGTGGCACTGGACGGAAGTGATCACTGGTGACTAGGTAGCTCAGGTGATTCCACTGTCCATCTTGTATTCGGAGGTCCAGGTCCCAGTGTGGTCATGCTTTTTACCTCTCCTGTTACACAAGTATCCATAGGTACTGATTGACACAAATATCCATAGGAACTGATTGACACAAGTATCCATAGGTACTGATTGACCAAAGTATCCATAGGTACTTATTGACACAAGTATCCAGAGGTACTGCTTGACACAAGTATCCATAGGTACTGATTGACACAAGTATCCATAGGTACTGATTGACCAAAGTATCCATAGGTACTGATTGACACAAGTATCCATAGGTACTGGTTGACATAAGTATCCATAGGTACTGATTGACATAACTTCAGTAAGTATCCATAGGTGCTGATTGACACAAGTATCCATAGGTACTGATTGCCACAAGTATCCATAGGTACTGATTGACACAAGTATCAATAGGTACTGATTGACACAAGTATCCATAGGCACTGATTGACATAAGTATCCATAGGTACTGATTGACACAAGTATCCATAGGTGCTGATTGACATAAGTATCCATAGGTACTGATTGACATAACTTCAGTATTTAAACTGTCATTTTTCTACTGTACAAAATTAGAATAAATGCATACAAGTTCCTGTACTCCCACTTTATTTGAAACATAGTTTGATGTTATTTTCCAAACATGCTTCACATTTAAAGCGAGTTAGTCAGGAGTGTGATTTGCTTTTGACAGAATTTGGTTTCCACAAAATTGTGTATTGTCTTTGTAAAAGTATGATATTAGGGACAATTTTGTCGCTGTCATGAAGAACTCAAATCTCCTGTTCAGGTAAAGTATTCATAGACATGTCACTATCTTTGGAGGGGGGGGGGGGGCATGTTTATTTGATCTTAATAACAGTGTTTCGTTTCTTTCAGTATAACAATGGCTATTATGGACACAGATTCCACAACTGTTTACTACAAAATATCAGATGGCCTTGTGCCTCCAGCCTCTCCTGAAACTACAGAGAAAAAGAAACTGTATCATACAGAACGCATCAACAAAAGGAGAATAGATGTGATCGCTAGTGTAAATAAATACATTGAAAAGAAACGCAGGTCTGACAGCTCAAATGAAACGGAAGGAAGTAAGACGGAACACATCATAGAGACACACGGAACTTTGTGAGGTAGTACACAGCTGTAAAACACCGATTAGGTAGCTGGAACACACTAAAATACACAGCTAGACCACGCTGAATAACACAGCTGGAATATGCTGAAATGTACAGCTGGAACAAGCTGATTAGGTAGCAGGAACATGCTAAAATACACAGCAGGAACATGTTGAAGAAAACTGCTGGAGCATGCTGATTACATAGCTGGAACATGCTGAAATACACAGCTGCAACATGCTGAAATACACAGCTGCAACATGCTAAAATACACAGCTGCAACATGCTGAAATACACAGCTGCAACATGCTGAAATACACAGCTGCAACATGCTGAAATACACAGCTGCAACATGCTGAAATACACAGCTGCAACATGCTGAAATACACAGCTGCAACATGCTGAAATACACAGCTGCAACATGCTGAAATACACAGCTGCAACATGCTGAAATACACAGCTGCAACATGCTGAAATACACAGCTGCAACATGCTGAAATACACAGCTGCAACATGCTGAAATACACAGCTGCAACATGCTGAAATACACAGCTGCAACATGCTGAAATACACAGCTGCAACATGCTGAAATACACAGCTGCAACATGCTGAAATACACAGCTGCAACATGCTGAAATACACAGCTGCAACATGCTGAAATACACAGCTGCAACATGCTGAAATACACAGCTGCAACACACTACAAAGCCGGATCACACTGATTGTGGGTTACACAGCTAAAACACTGGACATTTTTTTTGTAATATCAAAGATGTCAGCATTTCCTCTGCAAAGTTGTGAATGTTTTATGAAATGATTTGCCTGTTTTTCTGTAGTCTATAGCTTCTGTATATTGTTGTATAAACTATTTACAAATGGTATTTCAAAGATTAAATTCTACTATTTTTTCCCTGTAAAAAATAACAATTGGATAGGTACAGTCTTAGCATCATTTTATGTACGGAATGATTTGAACCGAGTGTATCTTAGTACAGCATTTGTTCTAAACACTTTAGACTTACTATGGAACAGGGCATTTAAACAGAATACTAGATTATTTGATTGTTTCTAAAAAATGAATTATGTTCTTTGTTATATTTTGAAGATATTTCTTGTTCTGTTTGTAATGCTATGGATTTTAATTGTAGAAGTATATTCCCTGTTTTGATAATTCTGTACACTTACATTATCTCGATATAAGGTACTTCAACACTGTCGCTACATCATTTGGATGTATAGAACTATCAGTATTCAGTGTTTAAACACTACGACCATACGGTATACCAGTGACGTATTCCCTCATCCCACGACACAGAAGTTGGTTCTGCACTAAGAGTTTTCATGCTTATCTACTGATAGTTGTTTCTTCTTGTAATAAAAAATATGATGTAGCAGAGGTCTGTTATTTTCATTGCTTCCATGTATTCGAATACGGAATTTCAGACTTGAATGAAAATACATACTATCTAATTCCAGTTACCTATGTTACTATGTGATACTGTATCTCTTTGTATGTTATCTTATTATAAAATCTTTGTAAAATCTCTATCTGTGTACACCATTGGGATTTAAAGATGTTGATATAAATACAATTTGAAAAGGCTAACCAGTCTTCTGAATGACAACAGGATTTTCTAGTAATCTGTAGAAAGAGGCTTATCATATTGTATATATAAACTATAGACTATAAACCAATTGTTACAGTACTGAAACCGACTAGGTTATTTTAATACCAATTATACAAATCACAACACGGAGATCAATTTTCTGGTTTTAATATTAGTACATTTGTATATAATAAGTATAACAGGTACAACATGTAAATATATGAGGTAAGCTTAATAGTCAATCATCACAAATGTTTCCCTCGTCCTTATGGTAAAGGGATCCAATCAGAAGAGACACTGTCAAACACTTTCTCATTTGACAAGTGATCTGAACCAGCGTCTCTATGAATCAAGGAATAGCGGGATGTTTTAGAATGTCTTTGGTTCTGATTATACCCCAGACATCTATCAAAGGAAGGGAGACAACCTGTAATGCATACTTGCATTATCTAACTAAACATGATATAATATTTGTAAATGGAAGAGATGCCATGTACTTTATATGATATTACTGCAGTGGCGTATATCCAACTGTTACAGAATACACAGTACATTTCAACAAGATTTCACTGCATCCAAGGGTTCCAAAGCCATGTACTGTGAAGGCCTGGAAAATAAATCCCAGTCTATATAGTGGTCAGTTACATACAGACCATGGACACCTGAACTTCAGGTTCCTAGCCAACACATTGGTCAGCTGTAACCACGGAGACCTGGACAACAGCTTCCTATTTCAGAGCAGTCATCAACAAACTGACCACTGAAGCCCAGACAAAAAGTTACGGGTTCCAAGGTCATAGAGCGGTTCCAAGGTCAAAGAGCGGTCAGTTGCATTGAGGAACAACAAACAGACCACTGAAGCCCAGACAAAAAGTTACGGGTTCCTAGGTTAGAGCGGTTCCAAGGTCATAGAGCGGTCAGTTGCATTGAGGAACAACAAACAGACCACTGAAGCCCAGACAAAAAGTTACGGGTTCCTAGGTTAGAGCGGTTCCAAGGTCATAGAGCGGTCAGTTGCATTGAGGAACAACAAACAGACCACTGAAGCCCAGACAAAAAGTTACGGGTTCCTAGGTTAGAGCGGTTCCAAGGTCATAGAGCGGTCAGTTGCATTGAGGAACAACAAACAGACCACTGAAGCCCAGACAAAAAGTTACGGGTTCCTAGGTTAGAGCGGTTCCAAGGTCATAGAGCGGTCAGTTGCATTGAGGAACAACAAGTATGTTGAAACAAATAGAAAACCTGCAAACATGAGTGTTATATTTCCGAAGTACATAGAAGCTTATGACAGACATGTATAACTACCTATGTTGAATATTATCTGTTGGAATGTAACATTGTTATAATATTGAAGTTATTATATAAATAACAAAGGTTTCAATATGCACAACCCAAAATACATAAAAGACACGCTTCCTAAACTACAAGGGACAAGGGATACCTCAGGTCATATAGAATGTTAACAACACATTCACACAGAACATGTGTACAAATGTTCAGTGTGTACAAACATTGACACAGAACATCAGTACAAATGTTCAGTGTGTACAAACATTGACACAGAACATCAGTACAAATGTTCAGTGTGAACACAAACATTGACACAGAACATTCGTACAAATGTTCAGTGTGTGTACAAATATTGACACAGAACATCAGTACAAATGTTCAGTGTGTGTACAAACATTGACACAGAACATCAGTACAAATGTTCAGTGTGTGTACAAACATTGACACAGAACATCAGTACAAATGTTCAGTGTGTGTACAAACATTGACACAGAACATCAGTACAAATGTTCAGTGTGTGTACAAACATTGACACAGAACATCAGTACAAATGTTCAGTGTGTGTACAAACATTGACACAGAACATCAGTACAAATGTTCAGTGTGTGTACAAACATTGACACAGAACATCAGTACAAATGTTCAGTGTGTGTACAAACATTGACACAGAACATCAGTACAAATGTTCAGTGTGTGTACAAACATTGACACAGAACATCAGTACAAATGTTCAGTGTGTGTACAAACATTGACACAGAACATCAGTACAAATGTTCAGTGTGTGTACAAACATTGACACAGAACATCAGTACAAATGTTCAGTGTGTGTACAAACATTGACACAGAACATCAGTACAAATGTTCAGTGTGTGTACAAACATTGACACAGAACATCAGTACAAATGTTCAGTGTGTGTACAAACATTGACACAGAACATCAGTACAAATGTTCAGTGTGTGTACAAACATTGACACAGAACATCAGTACAAATGTTCAGTGTGTGTACAAACATTGACACAGAACATCAGTACAAATGTTCAGTGTGTGTACAAACATTGACACAGAACATCAGTACAAATGTTCAGTGTGTGTACAAACATTGACACAGAACATCAGTACAAATGTTCAGTGTGTGTACAAACATTGACACAGAACATCAGTACAAATGTTCAGTGTGTGTACAAACATTGACACAGAACATCAGTACAAATGTTCAGTGTGTGTACAAACATTGACACAGAACATCAGTACAAATGTTCAGTGTGTGTACAAACATTGACACAGAACATCAGTACAAATGTTCAGTGTGTGTACAAACATTGACACAGAACATCAGTACAAATGTTCAGTGTGTGTACAAACATTGACACAGAACATCAGTACAAATGTTCAGTGTGTGTACAAACATTGACACAGAACATCAGTTCAAATGTTCAGTGTGTGTACAAACATTGACACAGAACATCAGTAGTAGGTCTGTCTGTCACTATGAGAGCATAGAAGTGGACATAGAACACTAAGTATGGCAGCAAAGAATTGAAATAAAAGTTTAAATTGAGACAAAAATATGCATATACATGTATATTCATAAAATAGATGAATAAATTAGCAACGACAAACTGATAATCACATATCAATGGAATTCATAAATTGGAAAAAAATATATATCCTGAATAAATACAGATTGCAAACCGGAGACATGAATCTCACACTGACCATATGTGACTGGTCAGTGAATTGCATGGTTAGTGGACGGATCATTATGGCATGATATGTAAATCTGGTATATATGTATAAGTACAAAGAAATCCTCCATCACCCGATCAATCAACAGACCCAACTCTAGATAAATATTAAACAGTTCATTAAACAAGACTCCATGTACAACTAATCCCTGTAAAACCTACACAATCCCTGTAAAACCTACACAATCCCTGTAAAACCTACACAATCCCTCACAATTCTCACTCACAGTTAAAAGATTGAAATATACAGGTTCTAACAACTAAAATAATATTTAGTAAGACATTTGTATCCTCTCAATAAAAACAAAATGAAATTAGTTTATTTTCAATTTAGAATAAAAAAATAATCACAAAATCATAACATTTTGAAGTCCTAAAAACTAACCATAGAAAGGGTTTCTTTTCCCATAACCAACGCTGAAACTGTCTAACAGATCAAATGTCTTGCTTCCTGAATCAAATACATGTAGGATAGCAGGGTTCAGTAGATCAGCTACATATATGTATTTAGAATTGGTTAAATATGTTAGTTAAATATATATATATATATATATATATACTGTATGCTTTATTACAGAAAATATAACATTTCTTTAACGAAACTTAAATAACATCAATTGGTGAAGTTTTTTTGTTTTTTTAGATTTACAGGGTAGATATCATCTAGTGTAATACAACCTAACCAAACCTGATTATGTATTATGACTACACTTACTATTCCCTATGTCAACATGATCACCAATTATAGTATTTATTCTGGTAATCCTTTCTGTTTTTTAACAGGAAAGGGGGACAACAATATTTATAATGTAAATGTGACCTAAGGTTATACTGTTGTTTATACTTCCAGCTTGTGTAAGCCAGACTATTTATGTGTAAGCCAGACTATTTATGCGTTAACCAGACTAATTATGTGTTAACCAGACTATTTATGTGTAAGCCAGACTATTTATGTGTTAACCAGACTAGTTATGTGTTAACCAGACTATTTATGTGTTAACCAGACTGTTTATGTGTAAGCCAGACTATTAATGTGTAAGCCAGACTGTTTATGTGTAAGCCAGACTATTAATGTGTAAGCCAGACTGTTTATGTGTAAGCCAGACTATTAATGTGTAAGCCAGACTGTTTATGTGTAAGCCAGACTATTAATGTGTAAGCCAGACTGTTTATGTGTAAGCCAGACTATTAATGTGTAAGCCAGACTGTTTATGTGTAAGCCAGACTATTAATGTGTAAGCCAGACTGTTTATGTGTAAGCCAGACTATTAATGTGTAAGCCAGACTGTTTATGTGTAAGCCAGACTATTAATGTGTAAGCCAGACTGTTTATGTGTAAGCCAGACTGTTTATGTGTTAACCAGACTATTTATACATCCAAGGTGTAAAATGATCTGTTATATTGACAATTAGTTAATGTAAAAATGTCACATGATTCAGTTTGGGCAACAAAATAGGTTACAATTTCTGCACATAATGGTAAGTATCAATTATACAATAAACAACTCTACAGGAATGTCTTTATCTATTGTCCTATACCATAGTACCACTATACCATAGTACCACTATACCAGAGTACCACTATACTATAGAGAACTAAACAGGAACGTATCCATCTATTGTCCTATACCATATAGTACCTCTATTCTATAGAGAACTATACAGGAACGTATCCATCTATTGTCCTATACCATAGGACCACTATACTATTGAGAACTATACAAGAACGTCTCCATCTATTGTTCTATACCATAGTACCACTATACCAGAGTACCACTATACTATAGAGAACTGTACAGGAACGTATCCATCTATTGTCCTATACCATAATACCACTATACTATAGAGAACTCTACAGGAACGTCTTTATCTTTGTCCTATACCATAGTACCACTATACTATTGAGAACTATACAGGAACGTCTCCATCTATTGTTCTATACCATAGTACCACTATACCATAGTACCACTATACCATAGTACCACTATACTATAGAGAACTATACAGGAATGTCTTCATCTATTGTCCTATACCATAGTACCACTATACCATAGAGAACTATATAGGAACATCTCCATATATTGTCCTATACCATAGTACCACTATACTATAGAGAACTATACAGGAATGTCTCTATCTATTGTCCTTTACCATAGTACCACCTATACTATAGAGAACTATACAGGAACGTCTCCATCTATTGTCCTATACCATAGTACCACTCTACTATAGAGAAGTATACAGGAATGTCTCCATCTATTGTCCTATACCATAGTACCACTCTACTACAGAGAAGTATACAGGAATGTCTCCATCTATTGTCCTATACCATAGGACCACTATACTATAGAGAACTATACAGGAACGTCTCCATCTGTTGTCCTATACCATAGTACCACTATACTATAGGGAACTATACAGGAACGTCTCCATCTATTGTCCTATACAATAGTACCACTATACTATAGATAACTATACAGGAACGTCTCCATCTATTGTCCTATCCCATAGTACCACTATACTATAGATAACTATACAGGAACGTCTCCATCTATTGTCCTATCCCATAGTACCACTATACTATAGATAACTATACAGGAATGTCTCAATCTTTTGTCCTATACCAATTAGTACCACTATACTATAGGGAACTATACAGGAACGTCTCCATCTATTGTCCTATACCATAGTACCATTATACTATAGAGAACTATACAGGAATGTCTCCATCTATAGTCCTATACCATAGTACCACTATACTATAGATAACTATACAGGAATGTCTCCATCTATTGTCCTATACCATAGTACCACTATACTATAGAGAACTATACAGGACATCTCCATCTGTTGTCCTATACCATAGTACCACTATACTATAGAGAACTATACAGGAACGTCACCATCTATTGTCCTAAATCATTATATAACTCAATGTAAGTGATCGTAATACAGCTATGCTATATAGCAACACCAGAGGTCATAATACCTCTTCACCACTGAAAGAGGTCAAATGTCATAATGATACCACTATATCATTTGGTAAAACAAGCAGGCAAAGGTCAATATATCCTATAGTTTAAAGTAACACAAGAGATCGTGGGTCATAGACTCCCTCTACCCAATATACACAACACAAAAGGTCATACGTCTGTGCCCACTACATGTAGGTATACGCTGACATCAGAGGTTGTAAGTCTACTGCACTGTAGTAGTTCTAGTGACCTTAAACAAGAGTGTATTAATATACCTAATTTACAATACATCTTTTACATAAATTCTGCGACATTATGCTCTTTAGATTACTTAATCCATTCAAACTTGACAATTATGTCAGAGATTGAGCTAGGATGTGTATTGATTTGAATGATGAATTTTTGGTGAGGATTTTGACTGTTCCTGTTTTATAACCTTACTGACCCTCAAACACTGGTCCTCAAAGTCTTACTGACCATCAATGCAAACACTGGTCCTCAAAGTCTTACTGACCTGCTAACACTGGTCAATACACACAAACTCTGATAAAATCAGCATAAATGGAGTACAACATTGTCTTAAAGTAAAATTTAAAATACCATACTGGTATAGAAATTCTATACATTCTGAATGTCGTTGTGGTAAGTAAATAAAACCTTTAACTTGATGCAGTAAAAATGTCATTGGCAAGAAAAGTATGTACCTTAAACAATGATTTATATATAAAATATCAGGTAAGACATAAAAGTAGTACAGAGTACTAGGTGCTGTAGGAATGCTGATTGGTCTGGAATTGATGTTGGATTATGGGATACAGTAGCTTCCACACTGAAGCGTGTATCACACATCTTTGCGTGCCATTAATGGTAGGATGGTCATCACCAGCGTTTCTTTGGCAGCCATGATATCATAAATATCATCAAGGGCCAGGTCTCTCAGCACAAACTTATTTATCTCCAGTATCTCGTCTCCTACACTCAACAGACCGGAGTACATGGCTTCCTGTGGACCCTCGCTGAACCGTGACACAAACACTCCTGTAAATGACAGATTGAGATTTACTGAAATATGTTACTTATACCTCAATCTTCAATTTTAGTTATTATTACCTAGTTTATATTAAGTATTGGGGGCTCTCACTCACTAGTAATTTCCAATTCCTCATTTCGTTCCATTTGGGTTTTAATTCCTGGGGAATTTTCCCCCCAATACTTTTCTGTAATATTATTTACTTATCTGTTGATTATTTTACTGCTTTTGCTTTAATTTTTCGGTATTTTCTTGATACTACTAGGCTCTTGAATCGCTCCGGAGTTTCGTCTTGCCAGCTCTTAAATCGCTTAAGTCTGGTGGTCAGTTTGCCTCTCTTGAATCGCTCAAGGCAAAGCTCTCTGCTTTTAAATCGCTTAAAAGTTTTCTTTATTACTTATGAGTATTTTATATGCAGCTCTTGAATCGCTCAAGGGTTTGCTCTAGATATCTACATGTATACTGTCTTGATTCGCTCAAGAATGTTCACTAGATATTTACATTTGGCCTGTCTTGACCTGTCTTGAATCGCTCAAGAGTTGTCTGGCCTACTTAAAATATATTGCTGAGAATACATTTTTTCCTTGTGGCCTCTTTCTTTGCTTAGGAGGCTACCTCGACAGTACACGTTTGTTTTTGTAGTATTGTATATAGTTAGCTTATAGTGTTGAGTGAGTAGCCCCTGATACGCCAAAGTATAAGTTTGTATTTTCTTTTTATCTTGCTAACTGCCTCATTTAAATATCTTGAATTGTAATAAACAGGTAAACTGTTGTTTTATCGTTTTTGTTGTGTATAAAAGACATGGTTGAGTGATTATTGAGATTTACTGTTATGTTACAGACATGGTTGAATGATTATTGAGATTTACTGTTATGTTACAGACATGGTTGAGTGATTATTGAGATTTACTGTTATATTACAGACATGGTTGAGTGATTATTGAGATATACCGTTATGTTACAGACATGGTTGAGTGATTATTGAGATTTACTGTAATATTACGGCCACAGTTAAGGGGTTTACACATGAACTTTACAACAAAATAACAGGGCATTTAATCTCATAAATAACACAACATACCATGATTAAACTGAGCATTGCCCCTGGCAATGAAGAATCCAACTGGCCCGTGTTTTGGTTTGTGGATTTGGATGACCTGTGTTCCGTCCTGATTGAGTTTGAGGAGCTTGCCGAGGGGGCCATTACTCTCCACCAGGCCAGCATCCGGTGTGCTGTCCAGGGACTCCAGGGACTGACATGAGGAAACTTTCCCCACATAACCTCCTCGTTGACCTTGTTGTTTCTGACCTTGATCATTTTTAGCTTTTTCTGGTGGAGTTTTGGTGTCAACACTGGAATGAAATAAAATAAAGAGTACACATAATGAAATACACACATAATAAAATACACACAAACTGACTACACACATAAACAACTAAACTATAACCAACTACACATATAACCAACTAAACTATAACCAACTACACTTATAACCAACTAAACAATAACCAACTAAACTATAACCAACTACACATATAACCAACTACACATATAACAAACTAAACTATAACCAACTACACATATAACAAACTAAACTATAACCAACTACACATATAACCAACTACTCATATAACCAACTACACATATAACCAACTGCACATATAACCAACTAAACTATAACCAACTAGACATATAACCAACTAAACTATAACCAACTAGACATATAACCAACTAAACTATAACCAACAACACATATAACCAACTAAACTATAACCGACTACACATGTAACCAACTAAACTATAACCAACTAAACATATAACCAACAAAACTATCACCAACTACACATATAACCAACTACACATATCACCAACTAAACTATAACCAACTACACATGTAACCAACTAAACTATAACCAACTAAACATATAACCAACTACACATATAACCAGCTACACATATCACCAAGTAAACTATAACCAACTACACATATAACAAACTAAACTATAACCAACTACACATATAACCAACGAAACTATAACCAACTACACTTATAACCAACTAAACAATAACCAACTAAACTATAACCAACTAAACATATAACCAACTACACATATAACCAACTGCACATATAACCAACTAAACTATAACCAACAACACATATAACCAACTAAACTATAACCGACTACACATATAACCAACTAAACTATATCCAACTACACATATAACCAACTACACATATAACAAACTAAACTATAACCAACTACACATATAACAAACTAAACTATAACCAACTACACATATAACCAACCAAACTATAACCAACTACACATATAACCGACTACACATATAACCAACTAAACTATAACCAACTACACATATAACCAACTAAACTATAACCAACTAAACATATAACCAACTAAACTATCACCAACTACACATATAACCAACTAAACTATAACCAACTACACATATAACCAACTAAACTATAACTAACTACAAATATAACCAACTACACATGTAACCATCTAGATTTAACACACACACAACTAGAAACAACATTCTGGTGATGAGAACATGTGTACCTTACCTTTCCTTTCCAGCAGTAGAGACTGGAGCCATGGGTGGTTTGGATTTCTTCTTTCTGGTGAACAGAGCAGCTTTGATCTTGGGCATTTTAAAGCCTGACTTCTTCTTCTCCTTATTTTTGTCCTTTTTGATGTCATCAGAGTTGTCTTCCCCTGCCTTGTTCAGGCCCTTGTCCAGACTGACTGCTTTACGGATGGCCTTGAACTTGCTCTTGGCAGATGACCTGACCTTGTCACTGAGTGACTGTTTTGACGCGCTCAGTTCCTTACTCCTCACTAAGTTACTCTCCTCCCTGTAAAACAATCATCAACAACTTTTTTTTATCTCGGTTAATATTCTATTACAAATATTCATTTTGATAAAATAGCATTCATGTTGTTAACATCAATAATTTTTTTCGACCAGTTTATAAAATAAGAACCATGTTATAGATGTAAAGTCAAAGCTGAAGGATACTTCTTAAACGAAATATTTGGTGTAAAATTTGAATACTTGAGTTGTGAGCCCGTCTTACAAACAAAACCAGCAATCCCTATTTGTTGTAATTAAATTATTGCTGTAACATCTGCACGAATTTATATTTCAGTTATTCCACCTTCTCGTGTAAATGAGTGATAGGGTTACCTACCTTTGGTATGCCCTCTTTGGTACGGGGGGAGTGCTTTCGTCCAACACAGTGATACTATCATCCACGTGACTACCTGCTGCTACGAAGGAAAACTGCTTTATTTGGTTATCTCCCCTGGCTTTAGTATTTTCTGTTTCCAGAGTTTTGATACAGAGGTCCAATTCAGCACAGTTGTTTGAATCTGAAGATAAATTTCATATGTACCCAAAAAATATATTATTCTTATATGTAAATGGTAGCACTATTTATAGAAATGCTTGTTTTCACATTTACTTGGAACATTGGAAACCTACAGGACTACAGCAAGGACTAGGAACAATACTCCTGAGTTAATACTGACAGTAACAACGACGCGTGGCTAATACTGAAAGCAACAACGAAGCTAGGCTAATACTTACAGTAACAACGACGCTAGGCTAATACTGACATAATACTGACAGCAACAACGATGCTAGGCTAATACTGACAGTAACAATGACGCTAGGCTAATTCTGACAGTAACAACGACGCTAGGCTAATACTGACATAATACTGACAGCAACAACGATGCTAGGCTAATACTGACAGCAACAATGAAGCTAGGCTAATACTGACAGCAACAACAATGCTAGGCTAATACTGACAGTAACAACGACGCTAGGCTAATACTGACAGTAACAACGACGCTAGGCTAATACTGACAGTAACAACGACGCTAGGCTAATACTGACAGTAACAACGACGCTAGGCTAATACTGACAGCAACAACGAAGCTAGGCTAATACTGACAGCAACAACGAAGCTAGGCTAATACTGACAGCAACAACGATGCTAGGCTAATACTGACAGTAACAACGACGCTAGGCTAATACTGAAAGCAACAACGAAGCTAGGCTAATACTGACAGCAACAACGAAGCTAGGCTAATACTGACAGCAACAACGATGCTAGGCTAATACTGACAGTAACAACGACGCTAGGCTAATACTGAAAGCAACAACGAAGCTAGGCTAATACTGACAGCAACAACGAAGCTAGGCTAATACTGACAGCAACAACGATGCTAGGCTAATACTGACAGTAACAACGACGCTAGGCTAATACTGAAAGCAACAACGAAGCTAGGCTAATACTGACAGCAACAACGAAGCTAGGCTAATACTGACAGCAACAACGATGCTAGGCTAATACTGACAGTAACAACGACGCTAGGCTAATACTGACAGCAACAACGAAGCTAGGCTAATACTGACAGCAACAACGATGCTAGGCTAATACTGACAGTAACAACGACGCTAGGCTAATACTGACAGCAACAATGAAGCTAGGCTAATACTGACAGTAACAGTGACGGTAGGCTAATACTGAAAGCAACAACGAAGCTAGGCTAATACTGACAGCAACAACGACGCTAGGCTAATACTGACAGTAACAACGATGCTAGGCTAATACTGACAGTAACAACGACGCTAGGCTAATACTGACAGCAACAATGAAGCTAGGCTAATACTGACAGTAACAGTGACGGTAGGCTAATACTGAAAGCAACAACGAAGCTAGGCTAATACTGACAGCAACAACGAAGCTAGGCTAATACTGAAAGCAACAACGATGCTAGGCTAATACTGACAGTAACAATGACGCTAGGCTAATACTGAAAGCAACAACGAAGCTAGGCTAATACTGACAGCAACAACGACGCTAGGCTAATACTGACAGTAACAACGAAGCTAGGCTAATACTGACAGTAACAACGACGCTAGGCTAATACTGACAGCAACAACGACGCTAGGCTAATACTGACAGTAACAACGACGTTGCTAGGCTAATACTGACAGTAACAACGACGCTAGGCTAATACTGACATTCAAATTAAAGAACTGGTAATAAATTAAGGGTTCATTGGTGTTGATGTTCTGATTGGTGATCACATGTTTAATGGTATTAAAATGCTGATAAGTGTTGACGTATTATTTACGTCAACATGTTATTGTGTTGATATACTATTTACATTTACATGTTAATGGTGTACGATTGCGATTGGCTTTAACATATTTGTTGCTGACATCCTAGTTGATGTTGACATTTTTTTGTGTTAACATGCTCATTAGTGTTGACATTTTTTTGTGTTAACATGCTCATTAGTGTTGACATTTTTTTGGTGTTGACATAGTAATGTTGCTGAGGTTAATTGATGTTGACATGTTTCAGTCTTTAGAAACAGGATAACTGAATATTAACTGACTTGAATAGTATTAGCTAAGTGGTATTTTCCCTTTACCTGTACCATTATTTCACTAGTTTGAATACAGCACTACTGAGCATCACTAAGTGTTAGAACTGCTCCACATAAATACCACTTACCTGAGTTATCCTGTGTCCCTGGACTGACACTGGAGTCACCGTGTACAATCACTGTGGCGTATGGAACCTCTACTGGTGCTGGGTCCATATCCTGTGTATTGACTCCTTGCTCTGGTCCCTGGTTTTCGTGTTTTGGTCCCTGGCCTCCTTGCTCTGGTCCCTGGCCTCCTTGCTCTTGTTCCAGTTCTTCAGGCTCTGATCCCTGGTCTTCAGGCTCTGATCCCTGGTCTCCTTGCTCTGATCCCTGATCTTTTTGATCTCGTCCCTGGCCTCCTTGCTCTGGTTCCAGTTCTTCAGGCTCTGATCCCTGGTCTTCATGCTCTGGTCCATGGTCTTTTTGATCTGGTCCCTGATCTCCTTGCCCCTGGTTTCCTGGAATGGGTACCCAATTGTCAGAGTTACCTTGTTTGTTGTGTCTTGTACTTGCTCCTGTGTTGTACTCCACATCCCTAGAAACATCCACATTACTACTGACCCCAGACACTATATCCACCTTCCCACTGTCACCATCACTGACTGTATCCGCCTCACTGTCCTCGTCCGTATCACTGGTGTTATCCTCGTCCGTATCACTGGTGTTATCAACAGGAGAGTTACTAATAATCTTAGATTGCACTGTTTTCTCTTTTGTCCCATTAACATCAGGTTGTGTGGCCAGTGTTGGCTCTAATTCCTCCCTGCTTAGACCGAGATTGCCTGGATCAACCATTACTGGAAGTGTTTGGTTTGTAGTCTCCATGTCATCATGTGTGAACACTTCATCCTCAGAATCTATCGAGTCATCTTGTTTCTCCTCTCCTACAGCAGATTGTTGTTTTACCTGTGTGTGATCACCTCCTACCTCTAAAGGCTCTACTTCCTGAGTTCCCTCACCAGTTCCTGTCTCACCTATTCCTGTCTCACCTATTCCTGTCACACCAGTTCCAGTCTCACCAGTTCCTGTCTCACCAGTTCCTGTCATACCAGTTCCTGTCTCACCAGTTCCTGTCTCACCTTTTCCTGTCTCACCTATTCCTATCTCACCTATTCCAATCTCACCTGTTCCAATCTCACCTTCTTCACCTCTCCTTCCCTCACTTATTTCCTGAGTCTTATTTTGATTTTTCTGCCGTAAATCTATAACCACAGGTTTAGCTGAGAACACACTATCCAAGTCACTCTCTATCAACTCATCAATGTCCACTCCATTCTGGTCAAGATTGACCAGGGCAGCTTCATAGGCGGTCAGCTGGCTGTCTTCCAGATGTGTGCTGTAGGCAGGAGGTGGTCCCAGCACTGCTTGACCTGGCAGACAGTCACTTGTACTATTTACAGTAGAGCAGTGTGCAGCAGTATGGCAGTCGTCTTCCTTGACGTTGTTCTGATCTCTAGCACCTTGATGTTTATTATTGATTTGAGGACTTTCATTATCAGAGCGATCACCTGATTCTACATCTTCAGCATGAAGACTATGGTTTTTGGACTTTTCATATTGCACAGAGTAGAAAGTTTCGTTTGCTTCCTGGTTAAGAGATGAATCTGATTCAGAAGACCGTTTTAACATAGTCTCTAAATCCACAGGTAAATTGGCTTCTACCTGAGATGGATTGTAATGGCCTTTTTTACCTTTGAAAATGTTCTTAAAATGGAATTTCTTCCTGGGTGAATGAGAATGTAACGTGACTTTTGGGTAGGATTCTGTAAGGTCTGTCAAGGTTTGCTGAGAGGCCACCAGAGTGTCAGTTGACAAGTCGGACTGAAACGACCACACTGATCCTGTATTTGAGGACTTTGAGAAAAAAATTCCAGGATTTTCTAAGCCAACATTTCTGATGTCCGATTCAGACACCAGCCTACGTGATCCTAAATCCTGTTTTTCAGGGACCACATTTAAACTTTGGTTTGACTGATGCATGCCAGACTTTTGTATTTTGTTTCTGCTGATCCCTGAACTACTGGGAGGTCTTGGTGAACATAAGACAGACACCTGGTCATCACTTTGGCATTTTTTTCTGTATAAGGGAGCACTATCTGGAGGAGTCATACAATGTCGTTTAGCATGATACTTAAATTTTTGGCGTTTCTCATGGTAACGTTCTTGGATCAGAGTTTCGTTATAAGTTTTCACCTCTGGCATTCCAAGACGTGGATCAGAGTCATCTTCTTCCTCGTCAAAATGGACATGACTACAAGTTTGGTTCTGAGCATCCCTATTTGTGGAGTCATGGCAGTGAGAATGCTGAAGGTCACGCCTTGGTGAGTCATCAGATGAATTATGCATAATGTTAACAGGCGTTTCCATGGAGAGTTCACTTGACAGATTCTGGAGGTCGTTGCCAGGTGTACTGTGAAAGTCATTTTCTGGTAAACTGTGATCGTTGACAGATGAACTGTGATCATTGACAGGTAAACTGTGATCGTTGACAGGTAAACTGTGATCATTGACAGGTAAACTGTGATCGTTGACAGATGAACTGGGATCATTGACAGGTAAACTGTGATCATTGACAGGTAAACTGTGATCATTGACAGGTAAACTGTGATCTTTGACAGATGAACTGGATGGTATCCTTGACATTGTTTGCTGTACTATTGCTTGCATCATTGCCTCTGACTCAGACTCTGGGGAACTGTAAAATAAAGTGTTGAATGGACAAACTACACAATATCAGTACTATGGTTCATAATTAATATATGTGAAACTAGAAAATGTTTGTAAGACATGAATGCCCCCCACCACCATGTGGAATTAGTTTCATTGGTTGATAATTTTCTAATAAATAGTTACAAGGACTTTGATTTTGACACCCTGAAATATGTATGCATCCAAGGTATTATCATTCTTCAAGTTGATAAATGGAGAAATACAGAGAAATTGTTTCTATGAATAGCAACTGAAACAATGACCATTGAAATAGGAACTCATCCAAGGTATTCTCATACCTTAAATCTGTATAAACTTTGATCAAAATCTGTTATAAAATCCAGTAGTTAAAATGATGACACTGAATTGTTTGATGACTTTCTATATATAGCAACAGTGACCTTGGCCTTAAATTTAATTGACCTTCAAACCCTGAAACACAAAGATGCTGTGGTATTATCATACCTGACCTTTGTATAAAGTTTGATCAATATCCATCTGATATAAAGTTGGAAGATTTTCTATAAATAGCAATGGTGACCTTGGCCTTGATTTTAAAATCCTGAAACAGGTATTTTCATACTTGAAAAGCTGTATAAACTTTGAGAAAAAACTGTTAAGAAATGAAGAGTAAGGACAATGAATGATTTGATGATTTTCTATATACAGCAACAGTGACCTCAGCCTTGTCAGAGATATCTGTCAGAGGTATTTTCATACTTGACCTTGATCAAAATCAATCAAAGAATGAAGTTGTTAAAGTGTTAACATTCAATCACCATGCGATGGGACGCAAGGTGACAGGATGGGACGGACTTGGTCAACACTATATGCCCCCCCCCAACCCCAACTGTATTTGAATCACTCTGTACCCATGTATTGATACCAATCAGCACGCCTATATTTAACCAATCTGTACACCTGTATTTTACCAAATCATCGGGTGTAGAGCCAACGCCGTACTTCTGATCTAGGTTCTGTAGGTTCCGTTATCCCTTGCTTGGATACCCAGGGGTATGCAGGGCGATTGAGGAACGGGAAACTATAAAGGCAATATTCAATCACAAAAAGCTCAGGATAGGTTGGTTTCTTTATTGTATGTCTACCGGTTTTGCCCGAACATGTGGGCTTCTTCAGGACCTGAAGAAGCCCACATGTTCAGGCAAAACCGGTAGACATACAATAAAGAACCCAACCTATCCTGAGCTTGTTGCGATTGAATATTGCCTGTATTTTACCAATATGCACACCTGTATTTGGACCAATCTGCACACCTGCATTTGTACCAATCTACACACCTGTATTTGGACCAATCTACACACCTGTATTTAAACAAATCTGCACACCTGTATTTTTACCAATCAGCACATCTGTATTTGTACCAATCTGCACACGTATTTGTACCAATCTGCATACCAGTATTTGTTCCAATCTACACACCTGCATTTTTACCTGTTTATATGTGTACCATGTACACCTACATATGTGTGTATCATGTACACCTATATATGTGTGTATCATGTACACCTGTTTATATGTGTACCATGTACATCTGTACAAATGTGTACCATATACACCTGTATATATGTGTACCATGTACACCTGTATATATGTGCATACCATGTACACCTATATATGTGCATACCATGTACACCTGTATATATGTGTACCATATACACCTGTTTATATGTGTACCATGTACATCTGTACATATGTGTACCATATACACCTGTTTATATGTGTACCATGTACACTTGTATATGTGTACCATGTACACCTGTATATATGTGTACCATATGTACACTTGTATATATGTGTACCATGTACACCTGTATATATGTGTACCTTATGTACACTTGCATATATGTGTACCATGTACACCTGTATATATGTGTACCATATGTACACATGTATATATGTGTACCATATGTACACCTGTAGATATGTGTACCATATGTTCACCTGTATATATGTGTACCATATACACCTGTATATATGTGTACCATGTACACCTGTATATATCTGTACCATATACACCTATATATGTGCATACCATGTACACCTATATATGTGTACCATGTACACCTGTATATATGTGTACCATGTACTCCTGTATATATGTGTACCATATACACTTATATATGTGCATACCATGTACACCTATATATGTGTACCATGTACACATGTATATATGTGTACCATATACACCTGTATATATGTGTACCATATACACTTGTATATATGTGTACCATGTACACATGTATATATGTGTACCATATACACCTATATATGTGCATACCATATACCCCTGTATATATGTGTACCATATACACCTGTTTATATGTGTACCATATACACCTGTATATATGTGTATTATATACACCTGTATATATGTGTACCATATCCACCTGTATATATGTGTACCATGTACACCTGTATATATGAGTACCATATACACCTGTATATATGTGTACTATGTACACCTGTATATATGTGTACCATATACACCTGTATCTAGGTGTACCATATACACCTGTATATATGTGTATTATATACACCTGTATATATGTGTACCATATTCTCCTGTATATATGTGTACCATATACACCTGTTTATATGTGTACCATATACACCTGTATATAGGTGTACCATATACACCTGTATATATGTGTACCATATACACTTGTATATATGTGTACCATGTACACCTATATATATATGTGTACCATATACACCTATATATGTGCATACCATATACACCTGTATATATGTGTACCATATACACCTGTATATATGTGTACCATGTACACCTGTATATATGTGTACCATGTACACCTGTATATATGAGTACCATATACACTTGTATATATGTGTACCATGTACACCTATATATAAATGTGTACCATATACACCTATATATGTGCATACCATATACACCTGTATATATGTGTACCATATACACCTGTATATATGTGTACCATATGTACACCTGTATATATGTGTACCCATGTGTATACTCATTACATGACAATGAAGGTTTTATTTGGGACATGTAACTCACCTGGAGGTAGGTATTGGTGACACCCTGTCTGTCACCCCTCCACCATTTTCTATTTCATCTGTCACACCAAGATCTTCTACAGAAACAAATAACACTTTTCATTATCATATACCTGGTAACATAAGTTACTATCACATTAATAACCATCCTGGTACACATGTCTTATCTTAATTATGTGACATAGTTATAAGGACTATTAAACCAATCAACAACCATAATAGTGTTTCTGATCTTTGATCATAATCACGATATTATTATATGGACATCTGAGATTCCTCTGTCATGCTGTTTGGTATGTGGAGTGTGTAAGGATCCTGTATACTTACCAGTATAGGGTATAGGTCAGTGTCCATAAAATGTATTTCTGTGTTAATACAAACAAAACCTTTGCCTAACTTTGAATCATGCCAGTCAACACAAGTCAGACCACCAATCATTCTCTGATTAATATGACTTGTAGATCATATCATAACACACATTTTTACAACTGCTCGAGTAGTAAGAACTTTTTTGAACTATAAAGCTAGTTTCCAGTTTCCTTTGCTTCGTACAAATTCCATGGAGTACCATTTAATTTCAAGGGAATTCCACTGATGGATGGACGAAGTGACATACTGACTTTCTGATGAATGGATAAAGTGACATACTGACTTGCTGGTGGATGGACAAAGTGACATACTAACTTTCTGATGGATGGACAAAGTGACATACTGACTTTCTGATGAATGGACAAAGTGACATACTGACTTTCTGATGGATGGACAAAGTGACATACTTACTTATGGATGAACAAAGTGACATACTGACTTTCTGATGGACAATGTGACATACTGACTTACTGATGGATGGACAAAGTGACATACTGACTTTCTGATGGATGGACAAAGTGACATACTGACTTACTGATGGACAGACAAAGTGACAAAGTGACTTTCTGATGGATTGAAAAGGTGACAAACTGATTTTCTGATGGACAATGTGACATACTGACTTACTGATGGATGGACAAAGTGACATACTGACTTTATTTAGGATGGACGGACAAAGTGAACTGAAGACCAATATATATTGATACTTCACAGGTAGCAGCCTGTCCCCTGATCACTACACAAGGAAGCCAGTTAACCCTCACACTTGTACTGTTCAAATAGTTTGATTTCCAATTAGTGTGTCAGTATTGTCACCTGGGCAAGCTCAGTCATACTTAAATCTGGGTATACATGGCTATAGCTGTGTTTAAACACCAGTAATTATTTATTCTGTCAAACAGAGTATGAACAGGTTTCCTGTTGTGATTATACCCACATGACTGCAATATAGTCACACATTCAACAGCTACACTGACAGGTTTACAACCAAGCATAAATAGAACTTAGGTGTTTAAAAAATATTGATTTCCACGCTGAATATCGGTCAAATATCGGTCAAATATCAGTCAAAAATGTCTTTTATCACACCCTAATGTTTTTTGCTGTGACCACAATAGGGAGATCTAGACTGTACAGGAATTTAAATGTTTGGACTTTTTATTATAGTACCTGTCTTAGATTTCAACTTAGTGATTTGAAATGTGCGCATATCTTATTCAGCTTAATGTGTGTCTTTAAAACACGTTCAGTCTTGCTATGCTGCTGCATTATAAAATAAAAGCTAGAAAAAAAAGGCAAAATATCCCACAAATATCATTTGCAATCACTACAATCAAATTGTTAAATTGAAGACTCAAGAAATTTGATATATTACACATCTTATACATCACCGATCATCAGTATTACTTCTATATTTTATAAATAACATCTAACACTGATTAAATTGGTCAAACAGTCCGTAATGTCAGGCTATATATATAGCTAAAGCTAAGTGGGGCTATAAAAACACCTACTTAATTTTGCTGATTGCAAAATTGCTTTTTATTACACTGCAGGTACAGTGTACTTAAACTCAGTTCTTGTATTAATGGGATCCTTTCATTGTGAAATTCTTACTGAATGAAGCCATGCATCTACCCCGGTGAAATACCACTATACTTAAATATTGACATGTATACTGTTATATTTCCCATCAAGTATCTCCTACAGTATTTTTGGGACACAATGTAATTCGACACTATTACTTGACCAGCCTGTTAAATCCCTAGAATGCCCAGTGTGTTGACTTAGGTGTACAAATAAGTTTTGATAACATATTAGGACAGCAAAAGGCACACAAGATCTTAACCTAGGCCGGCCATGTTTACCTACTGGCCTGTGTGGTGTGTAAAATTGATATTATAAATCACATTGACTCTGGTTAGAAGTGGCTTTTGTCAACTGGACACAATACACACAGCCGACAGTACACAGGTTAGTGTTTGGGTGTCAGTGTACATCACAAACATAAGGAGGAACAATTTAATACTACTCATTGTTATATATATATCACATACTTCCATACATCCACATACGCCATGCACAAACACCATAATGGACAGATGTAGGACAAGTGGACTCAACAAATCACATTTCCACTTAAGCTTATCACATGCCATGTAACTTACTATTTTACTGTGTAAGTTTTGCACTTAGAATCGCCTTCCTAAGATACATTGGTATAGCAAGTATGGTGAATGACGGTAAAATAGTAAGTGAGTTATATTTATACTCTGAACAAACTTTGGTATCAAAACTGAACAAAGGGCTACAACTCTGTTTAGTGGGGTATGAGAACCTATGCACAGCACTCCACCATCCCAAAATACATTAGTAAAGTACGGTTGGTGAAGGACGGCAAACTTAAAGTGTAGGTTCACAGAAACCCCTGCTTACTGCATATCTACAAAGTCTGAAGCCTATTAATGAAACCTGTACTATACTGTAAATTAGTACTTCAGGTCAAGATCAAAGGTCCTACTTTAGTCACAGTGACATCATTTTAAGATGCAACACACATGACCTTCTCATGATGTTCCTATATACAAAATATGATACCAATTCATGAAACAGAGGCGGAGATATGCTCTAACTCTTGAAACAACTATTTTAGTACTTGAGGTCAAGGTCAATAGTCAAACTGAAGACCTTATTTTAGGATGTGACACACTGCCTTTCGTAAGAACATCGCTAAATTATCTGCAGGACGTTTGGAGATCTGGTCAGTATACCATCCGCACCAAACTCAAGTTATACAATAGTTGTGTCCTACCAGTTCTTTTGTATGGATCAGAGTGTTGGAGGATGACGGAGCAAGATAAAACCAAACTTTCAACCTTCCACACCAAAAGCTTGAGAAGGATATTACGTATCTTTTGGCCTGAAAAAGTAACAAACCAAGATCTTCTCATAAGATGCCACCAAAAAGATATGGCCACAATTGTCATGAGAAGAAGATGGAGGTGGCTTGGCCATGTTCTCCGAAAGGATAGACAAGAAGTAACAAAAACTGCACTTCACTGGACACCGGAAGGCAAGAGAAAGAGGGGAAGACCTAAAATGACCTTGAGGAGAACCATAGAGGCAGAGGCAAGTCAACACCAACAGACCTGGGGAACTCTGCAGAGAATGGCAAATGACAGACAGATGTGGAAGAGCTTCGTTGCTGCCCTACACGCCACTGGGCGTACAGGGCAGTAAGTAAGTAAGTAACACTGCCTTTCCATGATGTTAAGTGATAATTTGTGAAACAGTGGCTGAGATATGCCCCAGAAACCATAGTCAGACAGGACGGATTGGTTTGGTTTGTTTAATTTTTTGTAACATCCTATTAACAGCTAAGGTCATTTAAGGACGTGCCTCCGTGTGTGTAGTGTATGCGTGCTTGCATGTGTGTATGCAGGAGACAGGGTATGTTGATGTGCTTGGAATTGCCACCTTGTGATAACGTGGATCTGATGCCAACTTTATAGTGCTATCTCACTGAAACACCACGTGGAAGGCACCCAGCACAGCATTCTGCCAAGTCACATTATACTGACAATGGGTGAACCAGTTGTTGCTATTCCCGTAAATGCTGAACGTTAAGCAGGGAATAACAACTACCATTTTTAGAACTTTGGTATGTCCCGGCCTGGGGACAGAACCCATTGCCTTCTCACCTGGGCAAACGCTCAATATTAAAGCCAAAAGTGAGGTGTTGCCAAGCAAGGCGATAGGAAATAAAAGGTAGTTAGAAGTAGAAAGAAAGATAAAGATACCAAATTTTGCAATGGGTGCAGCAGATTTATATTAGTCGCTTTTGTGTCCCCAAATAGAGGACACCAAAGCAAATCCCCAATTCTGTAGGGGGTTCCCACATTAGTCGCCTGCTACTATACATGCAGTGGGTAATAGCAGGTGTATTCTTTTCCCCGATCCCCCACCTGCAGGGGTGCAGAGAGGACAGACTAATGGACTGACAGATGCATGGACGAATCAATTACTATATATACCTGGCAAAGCCTGCATATAGAAAGCAAGTAAGTTTTGGTCTGGACAAAGTATTATTGTCACCAAGTTAGACATCACTTTACCATCATACATCCCGCCAATGTGACAAAATGACACAATGATAAAAAGGGTCCTAAGTCTGACTGACTGGTGATATAGTCCCCTCCAGTAGGACCAATGGGGAATTAATGTATTGTTTACATGTTATTCAGTTGATCTATAATGCAATGTAACTCTGTGCTCTAAGATGGCAGGATCTGGTTATACAACCTTTACTACCTTGCTTTATATTTGACACATCTTGGCATTAAACTCCTTAGCGGAGACAATAGTATGAATACATACCTTTATTTGAGGTCACTGTACCACCTGTATCGATGTCCAGATGTTCCTCATCTACCTCAAGTATGACATCAGTGAGAGTAAAACTGTCCAAGTCATTCATAAAGTAATTGGCATCAGTATTTGGCAAATCTCCATTTTTCTCCAATGCATCTGATCCATTAGGGTATTTGACATCTGTTGAGGAGTTGTCTGTGTTGTGATGATATCTGGTATCCATGGAGATAACAGATTGTATTGATGATGAGTCTACATCAATAGCACTATCTGGGGGAGAGTCTGGGCTGATCACCCGTGTGTATGAGGAGTCAAGGTCCTCAGAATGTTTGGAGCCACTGCTGTGCATACTCTGAGTGTCAAGGTCAAGCTTCTGTCTGTATGTCCTCAGTTGTCTGTCCTTGAGTTCCAGCTCCCTCTGTAGAGATTGTATTTGTTCCTCCTGTGCAAGTCTACTGGCATTTAGTATACTGTGGTATGGGTCCAAGTGTCTTGGTGATGACAGGTGGTCAAGGTCATCAAAGCCATGTAAATCTGATGACACACTACTAGTCCTTGACCTGCGTGCCCTTGGAGTGACCTCTGACCTTGGTGTCAGTCCAGGGTCATAGCTGTTTCTATAGTGACTTTGAGGGACTCCATTGTACAAGAGGTGATATAGTCTGTCGGATGTCGCATTAAGGCGTTCCTTCACTGTTCGGTCTGACATCATGGATGGTGTTGGACTGGTTTTACAGTCACGATCATACTGATGATTGCCATAGCTCAGAAAATCACTTAAATCACGCTCTAGACCAGACATAGGTCTCTCAGAACACACACTCCTTGTGTCCTCTGAGTCATAAACATCATCTTGGAACTGAACATGTAATCCGGAGTTAAATAAGCGCCGAGAAGGTCTGCGTGTCTTGGCTTCAGCTGAAAGTCTGCGTTGGAAAGCCTGAGGATATTTTTTATGGAGGTTTTGATAAAAATTGGAATTTTGTAATCTTGGATACTTGCTGCAGATGTCAATGTTGTCCATACTCTGGGACTTCGTCAAATTAGATCCCTGCTGAAGTGTAAAAAAAGGACAGTGGTTATCTTGATTGATCACCCTAATCATTACTAGACACTACATGCAACTTGTTACATTATACCTAGTACATCCTCATCAGTGAAATGTTAACGATCTCTGTCCCAATGAAGGCAAACAATGAAGAATGTGACTGTAGCTTTTCGTTCAAACAGTAACCTCCCTTTAGATTTGATTTTGGGTGTAACAGAAGCATGACTGGGTCAGGTAACTACCATTGACTAAGTAGCTCAGTTATTTAGAGTGATATCATATTGGTTTGGAGGTCCAGGATTGTAATCCTGGTCTGGCACAATCAAAGTTTTTGGCCCCATATTCAAATGTACATCTCTGTGTACTGTAATACATGACATACATCCCTGTGTACTGTTATACATGACATACATCCCTGTGTACTGTTATACATGACATACATCCCTGTGTACTGTAATACATGACATACATCCCTGTGTACCGTAATACATGACATACATCCCTGTGTACCGTAATACATGACATACATCCCTGTGTACCGTAATACATGACATACATCCCTGTGTACCGTAATACATGACATACATCCCTGTGTACCGTAATACATGACATACATCCTTGTGTACCATAATACATGACATACATTCCTGTGTACCGTAATACATGACATACATCCCTGTGTACCGTAATACATGACATACATCCCTGTGTACTGTAATACATGACATACATCCCTGTGTACTGTTATACATGACATACATCCCTGTATACTGTAATACATGACATACATCCCTGTGTACTGTTATACATGACATACATCCCTGTGTACTGTAATACATGACATACATCCCTGTGTACTGTAATACATGACATACATCCCTGTGTACTGTAATACATGACATACATCCCTGTGTACTGTAATACATGACATACATCCCTGTGTACTGTAATACATGACATACATCCCTGTGTACTGTAATACATGACATACATCCCTGTGTACTGTAATACATGACATACATCCCTGTGTACTGTAATACATGACATACATCCCTGTGTACTGTAATACATGACATACATCCCTGTGTACTGTAATACATGACATACATCCCTGTGTACTGTAATACATGACATACATCCCTGTGTACTGTAATACATGACATACATCCCTGTGTACTGTAATACATGACATACATCCCTGTGTACTGTAATACATGACATACATCCCTGTGTACTGTAATACATGACATACATCCCTGTGTACTGTAATACATGACATACATCACTGTGTACTGTAATACATGACATACATCCCTGTGTACTGTTATACATGACATACATCCCTGTGTACTGTAATACATGACATACATCCCTGTGTACTGTAATACATGACATACATCCCTGTGTACTGTAATACATGACATACATCCCTGTGTACTGTAATACATGACATACATCCCTGTGTACTGTAATACATGACATACATCCCTGTGTACTGTAATACATGACATACATCCCTGTGTACTGTAATACATGACATACATCCCTGTGTACTGTAATACATGACATACATCCCTGTGTACTGTAATACATGACATACATCCCTGTGTACTGTAATACATGACATACATCCCTGTGTACTGTAATACATGACATACATCCCTGTGTACTGTAATACATGACATACATCCCTGTGTACTGTAATACATGACATACATCCCTGTGTACTGTAATACATGACATACATCCCTGTGTACTGTAATACATGACATACATCCCTGTGTACTGTAATACATGACATACATCCCTGTGTACTGTAATACATGACATACATCCCTGTGTACTGTAATACATGACATACATCCCTGTGTACTGTAATACATGACATACATCCCTGTGTACTGTAATACATGACATACATCCCTGTGTACTGTAATACATGACATACATCCCTGTGTACTGTAATACATGACATACATCCCTGTGTACTGTTATACATGACATACATCCCTGTGTACTGTTATACATGACATACATTCCTGTATACTGTTATACATGACATACATCCCTGTATACTGTAATACATGACATACATCCCTGTGTACTGTAATACATGACATACATCCCTGTATACTGTAATACATGACATACATCACTTTGTACTGTAATACATGACATACATCTCTGTGTACTGTAATACATGACATACATCACTGTGTACTGTTATACATGACATACATCCCTGTGTACTGTAATACATGACATACATCTCTGTGTACCGTAATACATGACATACATCCCTGTGTACCGTAATACATGACATACATCCCTGTGTACTGTAATACATGACATACATCCCTGTGTACTGTTATACATGACATACATCCCTGTGTGTAGATCAGTCTGACCCTGTCAACAAACTGTACAGTGTGGCCCAATATTTAAAATTACCATTTAAAAAAAATGGCTTAATTAGAAACTAACTTCACATCCTTTTATAACCATGGATCTCCCAAAAATACTTTAATGTTGAGTGCACAGCTTTGAGCCCTGGGCAGCATCTTTTAATAGCATAAAGACGTAAATGTCAACAACTTCCTTTGATGTGTTCATTAGTACATTATGTAGACTTGGTATGATTTTTTGATCATGATCATCACTGCCTTGTGGACGATCAGTTAACTTTAATAAGCTTTATCAGTTTGGAAAAACGTAACATCAAAGTTTTACTCTAATATTTTTTGTTTTTCACATTGTTTGTGTATTTAAATCAAACTTTGATATGATGATCAGTTAAGTTATTGCTCAACTAAACCTCCATTGTAATAAAAAATAGTAGTAATTATTGATGCTAATTGTGAAGAGTTGGGTACAAAATGGCCCATTTATCTGTCACTGCCAGCATGGTCATACAGATATAATTGTCCCAATGCTATACAAAATGTTAAAATTCAATATTTGTGGAAATGGCAAAAATATTATCTCTTAAAACAGCATACAAATAAGTGGATGGGTGCAGGGCAGATTGCAGTTGGTGCAGCCCCAGGAGATTGGGCCTGAGGAACACACTGACAACAAGTTACATGTACGACAATACGTGTGTGAATTAAAGCTAGCAGGTTATCATTTATACACAACATAGGTAGGTAACCTGTACCTTGATTAATTACCAGTACTAATTAACTACAATGGCTGACATTGATAGCGATCGCTGGTGACTGTTCTGTACACTAGCTGTATATAGGATTGAAGGCCTGTTGAAATCTCTGACACCTGGTCTGACTTTAACTTATACATTACAATGTACCTGTGTTCTGTAAAATAACACGACACCTGTACAATGGTGTTAGTGCTAACAATCAAGCTGATACAGATATTATGTCAGGACGTGACCAATGACATAGACATAACCTTACATTACCTCCCCTTTTGATCCTCATACCAGAGATATTTCATTGTTCTGGGACAGTCAGCCGATGTCTTTGGACAAAATTTGTCACAGTGATCAAAATTTGGAATATTCAGAATTATACTGAAAAATCATCTTAAAAACTAAAACAACGATGTTAACTATATAGGTCATTATTCTATACAGTTGTACATGCTGTGTTTTTTCTCCCTAAATTTTTATGACAGCCTGTTCGTTCCTTCACCAAAATAACATTTATTTATTTTTTATTGAATAGGGAAAAATTCCTCATTTTCTTTTCTTGATTTGTGGAAAATAAAACACATTTCTTGCCAAGGAAGCAGTCTGTATTGTCCTGTAAAACTAGCTATAGGCAAAAACATCACAGCATTATCATCTGATTGAAATCAAATAAGAGAAAAAAAGTAAAAAGAATTTTTGAAAAAAAATACTACCATGTCCCATTGAAAACAGGACCTAATCACGCCTAAAAACAACATGTTACTGTGGTGACCAGTGTATAGATAACATGTTACTGTGGTGACCTGTATATATATAACATGTTACTGTGGTGACCAGTGTATAGATAACATGTTACTGTGGTGACCAGTGTATAGATAACATGTTACTGTGGTGACCAGTGTATAGATAACATGTTACTGTGGTGACCTGTATATATATAACATGTTACTGTGGTGACCAGTGTATAGATAACATGTTACTGTGATGACCTGTGTATATATAACATGTTACTGTGGTGACCTGTATAAATATAACATGTTACTGTGGTCACCAGTGTATATATAACATGTTACTGTGATGACCAGTGTATAGATAACATGTTACTGTGGTGACCAGTGTATAGATAACATGTTACTGTGGTGGCCAGTGTATATATAACATGTTACTGTGGTGACCAGTGTATATATAACATGTTACTGTGGTGACCAGTGTATAGATAACATGTTACAATGGTGACCAGTATATAGAGAACATGTAACAGTGATGACCTGTATATAGATAACATGTTACTGTGGTGACCTGTATATAGATAACATGTTACTGTGATGACCTGTGTATATATAACTTGTTACTGTGGTGACCAGTGTATAGTTAACATGTTACTGTGGTGACCAGTATATAGAGAACATGTTACAGTGATGACCTGTGTATAGATAACATGTTATTGTGATGACCTGTGTATAGATAACATGTTACTCTGATGACCTGTGTATAGATAACATGTTACTGTGATGACCTGTGTATACTAGATGACATGTTACTGTGATGACCTGTGTATAGATAACATGTTACTGTGATGATCTGTGTATAGATAACATGTTACTGTGATGACCTGTATATAGATAACATGTTACTGTGGTGACCAGTATATAGAGAACATGTTACAGTGATGACCTGTATATCGATAACATGTTACTGTGGTGACCTGTATATATAACATGTTACTGTGATGACTTGTGTATATATAACATGTTACTGTGATGACCTGTATATAGATAACATGTTACTGTGGTGACCAGTGTATAGATAACATGTTACAGTGATGACCTGTGTATACTAGATAACATGTTACTGTGGTGACCTGTATATATAACATGTTACTGTGATGACTTGTGTATATATAACATGTTACTGTGATGACCTGTGGATAGATAACATGTTACTGTGATGACCTGTATATATATAACATGTTACTGTGATGACCTGTGTATAGATGTTATTGTGGTGGCCAGTGTATATATAACATGTTACTGTGGTGACCTGTATATAGATAACATGTTACTGTGGTGACCAGAGTATATATAACATGTTACTGTGGTGACCTGTGGATAGATAACATGTTACTGTGATGACCTGTATATATATAACATGTTACTGTGATGACCTGTGGATAGATAACATGTTACTGTGATGACCTGTATACATAGATAACATGTTACTGTGATGAGTGGTGACCAGTGTATAGATAACATGTTACAGTGATGACCTGTGTATACTAGATAACATGTTACTGTGGTGACCTGTATATATAACATGTTACTGTGATGACTTGTGTATATATAACATGTTACTGTGATGACCTGTGGATAGATAACATGTTACTGTGATGACCTGTATATATATAACATGTTACTGTGGTGCCCAGTGTATAGATAACATGTTAAAGTGATGACCTGTGTATAGATAACATGTTACTTATAGATAACATGTTACTGTGGTGACCAGTATATAGATAACATGTTACTGTGATGACCTGTATATATATAACATGTTACTGTGGTGCCCAGTGTATAGATAACATGTTAAAGTGATGACCTGTGTATAGATAACATGTTACTCTGATGACCTGTGTATAGATAACATGTTACTGTGATGCCCTGTGTATAGATAACATGTTACTGTGATGACCTATGTATAGATAACATGTTACTGTGATGACATGCAGTTAGATAACATGTTACAGTGATGACCTGTGTATATATAACATGTTACTGTGGTGACCTGTATATATAACATGTTACTGTGATGACTTGTGTATATATAACATGTTACTGTGATGACCTGTATATAGATAACATGTTACTGTGACGACCTGTGTATAGATAACATGTTACTGTGATGATCTGTGTATAGATAACATGTTACTGTGGTGACCAGTGTATAGATAACATGTTACTCTGGTGACCTGTGTATATATAACATGTTACTGTGATGACATGCAGTTTATATATAACATGTTACTGTGATGACCTGTATATAGATATCATGTTACTGTGATGACCTGTATACATAGATAACATGTTACTGTGATGCCCTGTGTATAGATAACATGTTACTGTGATGATCTGTGTATAGCTAACATGTTACTGTGATGACCTGTATATAGATATCATGTTACTGTGATGACCTGTATACATAGATAACATGTTACTGTGATGAGTGGTGACCAGTGTATAGATAACATGTTACAGTGATGACCTGTGTATAGATAACATGTTATTGTGATGACCTGTGTATAGATAACATGTTACTGTGATGCCCTGTGTATAGATAACATGTTACTGTGATGACCTATGTATAGATAACATGTTACTGTGATGACATGCAGTTAGATAACATGTTACAGTGATGACCTGTGTATAGATAACATGTTACTGTGATGACCTGTATATAGATAACATGTTACTGTGATGACCTGTATACATAGATAACATGTTACTGTGATGACCTGTGTATAGATAACATGTTAATGTGATGACCTGTATATCGATAACATGTTACTGGGATGACCAGTGTATAGAGTGATGACCTGTGTATATATAACATGTTACTGTGTTGACCTGTATACATAGATAACATGTTATAGATAACATGTTACTGTGGTGACCTGTATATATAACATGTTACTGTGATGACCTGTGTATAGATAACATGTTACTGTGATGACCAGTGTATAGATAACATGTTAACTGTGATGACCTGTATATAGATAACATGTTACTGTGATGACCTGTGTATAGATAACATGTTACTGTGATGACATGCAGTTTATATATAACATGTGACTGGGATGACCTGTATATATAGATAACATGTTACTGTGATGACCTGTGTATAGATAACATGTTATCTATATACAGGTCATCACAGTAACATGATATATATACAGGTCATCACAGTAACATGATATATATACAGGTCATCACAGTAACATGTTACATATACAGGTCATCACAGTAACATGTTATCTATAACATGTTACTGTGATGACATGCAGTTTATATATAACATGTTACTGTGATGACCTGTATATATAACATGTTACTGTGATGACCTGTATATAGATAACATATGTTACAGTGATGACCTGTCTATATATAATGATGTAGTATAACTATTGTTAATGGGCATTAAGTAACTTCAAGCCAGAAATATGCCAAAACAATTTGGTTTCTTCTTCATTAGAGATGCAAGACAGAAAATTGGAACTCTCTACCTTTAGAGAAAGCCCTTTTTTCTCTGACAAAAAGTAAGTTGAATGATAAGCCGAAATAGATTTCATATATAAATATGTCTTACCCGTTGCTTTCGTGGTTTGATATTTTTAGCGTAAGCCAACCATTTCCCCCTCTCTGGTGGTCTGGACCGAGCTCCATAGGGGATGTAGCTGTCTGTACTGACCCTGGGGGGTTCAAAGCTGGAGGCATTGCGGGTCCCCCACTCAGATACCCCATCTCCTCTGCTGTCAGAGTCTCTGTCATTCCTGCTCTCTGCAGCAGATCCATCTCCATGGTAATGGCGATCACTGAATCTTCTGCTAAGACGCTCATCTAGAAGTCTTGACGATGTTACGAGATCCAGATAAATATCACGTGGAGGTGTGTCAACATGTTTACCTGAGGTATTTATGTTATCTGAAGACAGGTGTAAACTGTGAGGGGAGGAACGGTATCTTCTGTTTCTGGAATACATTTCATTTCTTTACCTATTTTAACAAACACACACAATTTAATCATCACGAGGCTTACTTCCATTTTCAAGTTTTCGTGCATATGATTGATATTTTAATCCGTTTGACATCCCGAGGTAAACACCACCTATCCATTGTTAGTGCACGCTGTCACAGGTAAAAGGCTTCGTGTAGTAACCCTGTGACGTCACGTTTCATGCGTTTTCCCACAATCGGTGACGTAGTACGCGGACAGTCACAATTACTGTCTGTGTTTTACTAGAAAGCAAGGAAGATACCCTTTGTTCCATTGCATTGGGTACAGTTGCCGAAATGTTGGACTGGGACTGTTGACTCTATACATTGTTGATTTTACAGCTCTACTTAATATTGTAAGTTAAGCATGTCGTGACACACAAACGCACACATATATCTTATATCTCGAACTTCGTAAACTACCGTGGCATGTGATTGTTGACATTCGATAACTTCTGGGACATGGCTGACTGCTACAGTGCTATGTCGGCCTTTAGGGCTTCTGTCACAGGACCCTGTTATCAATGTAATAAAAACTCCTAAAATATCACCCCGTATATAATGCGATGCTGCAAACATCAAACAGTTGGCCCAGAGACAACAGACTACAAACCATTAAATTACACTTTACACATATAACTGCTGTACTGTACTGTATAGCATTAATATTAGAACCAGGATCGTGATACAGTAGAACAACAGAACTATGCATTTGGTAAGCAAAATTATACTCTTTGCATGCTACAGTTTATACAGAATTAACTTCATCATTCTTATGAAATACAGAAATGAGATAATCAGTAATTTTATTTTAACTATTAAGAAAAATCATTTAATCATAATGTTGTTATTTAAAAATTGTTATCTGTATTTTTTTGCAATCAAAGTACCTTTTGAAATGGATAAGATGTGGTAAATTTTGTCTAAAGTTTACACCAAATTTTGATCTGTCAAAATGTCTTAGTCTGGTGTCAGAGGCCAGTGGAAACTCAGGCTGGTATTGGTAGTAGAATTATTATTCAGTTAAAACATAGATATCTGCCAAAATTTCAGCAATGAATCGAAACGTCTGGATTAGGAGTGATCAAAATGCAGTTTAAGTCATTTGCATGTCATTTTAATACACTTAATTTTTTATTTATTTTTGTAATTTATGGTACACTAGGTTATACCAACTTATAAGTTATAACTCAAAACTCACAAATATAGCTATCATTTTCAACATAAGATACATTTGCATTTAAATTTTTTACAATTAATTCTACAATAAATGCATATGCTATGATTTCAGAAGTTGAAGTATAACATCCATAACATGAAGCATCTCATTAGCTAAATAGGGTATTGCATTTTGCTTGTTAAAGAGGAAAGAATATTAATGTTGATGGCAATATTGTATTAATGTTTTAGAACTGCTGAAGAAAGCGTACGAAAATGAAGTTTGCGGAACATCTGGGAGCACATATTACTCCTGAGTGGCGGAAGCAGTACATTCAGTATGAGGTAGTGTATTGGTGAACCTCCAACTTATAATGTAGTATCAGTTCAGATAATAAATTACACAACAAATGTTTCATGTTTTTGACAATTCACATTTTGTCAAATTTTTCCAAGAGTTTAGTTGAATAAACTTGAAGTTAATCTAAATAATTCAGATGTACAATATTTAGCTCACCTTGGCCAAAGCCGAAGGAATAGATGAAGGGATTTTATTTTAAATCAGACTCATTAAGTTGGGGAAAAGGAATTTTAACATTCATTGGTCAGAATTATCCCTAAGGGAACTCAATGTCTAAATAAAGAACATGGCTTCCTTAGAGAAAAAAACATCTTTCCTGTATACGTTTTTGTGTCACATTATTTTGATGTGAAAATCTGTTAATAGGTTATGTAAATGATAATTTGAATGTTTGTTAACAGGCGATGAAGGAAATGCTGTACGAGGCAGTGGAGCAGTCACCGTCCGCCGAAGGTACTGTCTGCAGCAATGAGACACGACAAATTAAACATGTTGTTCACACAGTTTTTATACAGTAAAAATGTTTAAGTTGAGAATTTTATTTCCATATGCCTACCTGTTAGCATATCCTCGTACATTTATTTCAAATCTGATTCCACTACTACATGTCATGTATTTACAATTTCTACTACTTTTCTTTTCATTAAGAGGCCCACTGGATTGTAATGATTTATGCGACCTGCTATATCAATGTGCTTGGACCTGACAAAAGATTGCAGTAAAATCTCAATGGGAAAACAATCTTATTACTAGTGACATTTACTGGTTATAATTTTATAAAGGACTTGAGTGATAACTAATTTTGTAGCTGTATTACATTATATAATTAGTGCATCAAGGTTATCGACCATATTCAAACTTTAAAATCACACAAACATTTTTACACTCTTTAACCAACTTGTGATGTTATATGTTTTTAAAACGAATTCATTTAAAATATACTGTATTGCAGTAACTGACCAGACCATCATACAGAGATTCCTAGCCAGATTTGATGAGAGGCTTTTCCAGTTTTGCGACAAAGAATTGGCTAAAATCAACACATTTTTCTACGGTAAGATGAATAATTTGTAACAAAGGTAACAATTGATTGTATTTAAGTGTTTTAGTTTTGTGTACTGCATTAATTCAAAATAATAATAAAACAGTCACTGTAATGAAAATTACAACTCTTTCAACTATTGAAGAAAAAATTTCCGAGGCCAACCGAAAGTATGCGAGTCTAAAGGCTGAGATGGAGACATACCATGAGCATGCTCATAAACCGTCGACAGTAGGTCTGCGTCAGAGACGTGCCAGTGTGAAAACTCTGTTCAAGGATAAAGAGATTAGTGGTGTGGCCCACACACGCAAGCTGCACGACCTCAAACTGGCCTTCAGTGAGTTCTACCTCTCACTTATCCTCCTACAGAACTACCAAACGCTCAACTTTACAGGCTTCAGGAAGATCCTCAAAAAACATGACAAGGTAGGGCACAAAGATCGGGCTATCAGGGGTCAAGGTTGAGAGAAAGGTCAGGATATAAAGAGCTCAATCACAGTAAAGTTGTTCACACAGGTCCATGTCAGGCATTAAGGAATCAATGACAAAAACAAAAAGTTCACCCAGCACAGTTAGGACTAAACTGCTATTGTTTACATAGAACTTTTCAGATGTTTTAGTTTGGCCGATTAACTATTGTCTCATTTTGTTGTACTTGACACCTTCTTTACTAGAATTATACCAAATGAAAATTAGGTCAAAGTCTCTAAACATGTTAGGTCAAATTTCTGAAGATAGATGGACAGATATATAAAATAGGTATCAGGATTTCCAGATAGCTTATGATCACTTTAAAGGATAGAACTTAATAACATGTGTTTATTGTAACAGTTGATGTCAACTCAGAGGGGAATGGAGTGGAGACAAGCTCACGTGGATGCTGCACCCTTCTACACCAACAAAGAGGTAGACCACCTCATCACAGAGACCGAGGTATGTGTTACAGGAGGGGGGGGGGGGGGGGGGGGGGGAGGAGTGTAAATAACTGAGGGCATGGTATGTGTTACAGTAGAATGGTGTGACAGGAATGAGAGGTATAAATAAATGAGGACAGGGTATGTGTTACAGGAGAGTGTTGGGCACAGGGATGAGAGGTATAAATAACTGAGGGCATGGTATGTGTTACAGTAGAATGGTATGACAGGGATGAGAGGTATAAATAAATGAGGACAGGGTATGTGTTACAGGAGAGTGTTGGGCACAGGGATGAGAGGT